TGGGGCAAGCTTCCCGGTGCTGGCTTGTCCCAACAAGAGAGCCAATGCAATAGGCACACCATGTTGCTGCCCTGCTGGAACGTCCCATCCCCGGCGTTCCCAGGAGCTTGACAAGATGAGAAACACAGTCCACAGGAATTTGCGGAAAGGGAGACCAAAAGACGCAAGGCGGGTGCAGACCCTGTTGTCTAGTGCAAACTCTGCTGAGCAGCCCCCACGCCACCAGGCTGCTAATCCCCGGGCAGGAGATGGTCACCTACGACTCCTCATAGGAGCCCGTTTGCCTTCAGAGAGTGAACCAGCATGCTCTCCGATGGCCCTTGCTATCTGAGCTGAGTCAAAAACCCAGAAAAACAGTCAAAGCACGGCCAAAGTTACTCTATGTTGTTACTAGCTCCTCTCCATACCTAAGCAACCGCAAGCTTGGGGCTGCTTGCGATCTCAGCTGGCTGGCTCCTCTGGAGGCATCCGTACCTCATCCCGATGGAGGGTTTGACCCCACTAACAACTCACCAGCCCCACAGCACCAGCTGAGGGACCCTGCTGCTGACCCCTCTCCGATTCCTTTTGGAAAGACATAGCAGCTCCCTGCAGCTCGCTGGACGCATCCCCAGAAGCCATCGCCGCCATCAGCAAAGGCAGCATGCAGGCACGGCTTTATAGAGATGCTGCCCATGCAAGTGGGCTTCCCATCATCTCAGCCTGTGTTTTCACCCCACCACAGTGGAACCACCAGCTGAACCACCAACCGTGCTGCTGACCATTTGCAAGGCTGCGCTTTATCACTGCACTGAGCCAGGAGAAGAGCAACCTTTCGCATAGGCTTTTGAAACCAAGTCAGTTCCTACCACTGACACAGGAGGGTCATGCAAATAGTTTTGCTGACAGTCTGAGCTGGGCAGTGTGCCACAGAGCTGCAGCAGGAACAGGACATGAAGGGATGGGGGACAAGTTTGGGAAGAGATGGAAGACTTCTGCCATGAAGCCAGCACCTGAGATGTCAGACTTCTACTATTGCCAGCAAATGTATGGTCTCACACAAGCCTGTGAGAGCTGCTCCTCACAGCAGCACGCCCTGACCCCTTCACCACATCCAATGCTGAAGCAATGACTGCCTGAAGTACTAACACTGTTAGCTATTTCCCTCTTCCACATGAAGGAAGCTGAGGAACAAGGTACACATCTCTCTCTCCCATCCCATCTCATCTCATCCCATCCCATCCCATCCCATCCCATCCCATCCCATCCCATCCCATCCCTGACCACCCAACACACTTGCTAAATACAATTCTGTATGAACATCACCCATGTGCTTTTCCCTTTGTTCTTATTATCTCTAACCAAATTTTTCACAATTAACACGCTTATACATCTGGGAGCAGGTTTGGTTTTGTGGGCTTCCATCCCAATGCTTCCTTGCACTTAAGTACTATAACAAAGAGCTCTTGATCTACAAATAACAGAACATTTATGTACAAAAAACCTTAGGAGCAATTTGATCAGTCATGTAATTAAATACCCCATACAAGACAGCCCAGAGCTCGCCGTGCTGCCTGTTAAAAGAGACATTTTCTTTTATACTGGCACCACTTCAACACCTTTTTTTCTAGTACAGGAAACAGCATATTGCAGTTGTCCAAATGTGCGTAAGTCAAACCCAAAGCAAATAGTTTCTTTTTGCAACCCCGCTGGCCTCAGAACCCCACCAGGGAGGTCAAGGACACTTTTAAATCCAACCAGCAAACTTCTGAGTATTGCTGTCATTGCAAATGTTTGTAGAAGCTATTAGTTTTGCAGTCTTTGTAGAGAAAACTGTGTTTACTTTTAAGTTCAGTATTTTCATCTGCCTTTAAAATGTTTGTCTTTGTTGCTAGATACCAGCTTGGATAAACAATAACAATAAAACTCCAACACGCTCAGAAGAAACTATTAAAGATTAAACAGTTCCTTCCAGTCAAAATGCCAATTTGTCAACTTTCAAACCACAGCGTGTAAAAATTGTTCATATCACTCTCTACCTATAGTAGCACAATGTTGAATGCAGTCTAAGTCATCTTCTTTGCTATGAAGAAATGGGAGTTGCCAAGCTGCAGCTGACTTTTCTTCCGCATCATGTTTCATTACTCTCTCCATCCCCGGCCGCACCGCAAACAGCTGTTTTTTTCCCTGTATCTTGTTCTTTATCAGGGCCAGGGTGGGGAAAATCAGGCACAAGCTGACGTAGTTGTCAGCCCAGCTGCTCTTCCTCTGCCAGTTTAAACTTGGACGCTCAGGGGCATGTTCACGTAAAAGGACAGTTCTGTGTGCAATTTGTGACAGGATTCAGTTATACTTTAAAAACCTTTCCCTCCGTTTCCTTGCTTTAAAAATCGTTCCTTTTCCTACACAACCAAGAAATAGTAATTCCATCCAGCAAGCCGGTGGCACCATAAACCACTACAGCAAAACCTAGTGGAATTATAGTACTATCTTTATTTAGATTTGAGGGCTGTATTCATACATGTTTTGGACTTCACTTTTTCCATGGAATTGGTGTTTATGGAAGCAAGGCATGGATAATCAAAAAGCTTTGGCTGGAACAAACTGCAAATGAGAAAGCTTCTCCCCTCCGGCTCCTCGCACCGGGATGCCGGGCCGGGAGAGCACCCTGTTTGCAGCACGCCCCGGGGGTGCAGGCGCTGACGGAGGCAAGGTTGGAAACCAGGATCCCACTTCACTGTGGTAGAGCCAGCAGCGCTCTCCTTTTAGGGCCAGGCACCAGCCCAGGACTAACCAAAGCGTCAAGTCCTCCTGGGAGGGAAAAGACCTGAACAAGAGGGCTTGGTGAAGCCTCGGATGGGGAGACATTGTCTTGTTGTCAGAGAAGACACCGAGAATGCTCAGCTCTTTCAGCAGATTCTTCCCTTAGGGGAAAGCAACTACTCTGTAAGAGCATCGTCAACATGGCAGATACATAATTGATACCTTCCTTTCCCCACTTGCTTGTTTCATGCTGTATTTGAGGTCCCCACTTCTCCTCTGCTCTCTGTTAATAATGAATGACTGTATTATCGCAGTGCTTAAGAGGGCCGATCACAGACCAGGACCTCTTTGTCACAAGAGCTGTACAAACAAAAACCATAAAGAACATTCTTGCTCCAGCTCTAAGCACAAAATGAAAGAGAACAGCTTGAACAACAGATTTCTGATTTTTCACTGCCACCTGCTCAGCTGTTGCATTTTTAAAATTTTTTAGCTATCCAAAAGTCCGCATGATTTTGTTTGCAGCACGTCCTTTCCTAACACCTCTCTCATTCAGACGCTGGCACTGAGCAACCATAAAATGTATCTCTGTTGTCTGTGGGCTAACATAGAACGCCAACTTGAACTTCCGTGTGCCAGTTTAAACTGAATTGTCGTAGCTGGAGCTGGATGAGCATCCCTCGAGCCAGAAAGCAACTACCCGCAGAAGAAACACCAGGCCCCATCTTCTTCCCGCCAAAGGCAGTTCAGCGCTATACTGTCACAGAGCCTAAGAACTTCCATTCAGTACTCAGCTTCAGCACACATCGTTAGTTTCAAACGGTGCCAGCGGCGATGCCCGTTTGCCTGGCGGGGGGTTCTGAGCCCACCCAGCTACGCCAGCACGCACCACTGCACCGCCGTCCAGGAACGCCTTTCCCCTCCTCCTCCTGCTGAGCCAGGCACAGTCAGGAGCTGGCAGCCATTGTAGCCCAACGAGAAACTTTAAGTCTTCCAGTTACCGCTAAGATGTAGTCGAGCTTGTCCAGACAATATATTCATTTACTTGCTTTGTACAAAACCCAATACAGACGTCAAGAATCATTTAGCCTACTTCAGCCAGACTAATGCTGACACAGGTCATTCCCACCGTATGGAGTGGCACACTTCACTGTATTGCGTGTTTTCTTAAAGACTCTCTTTATACCCTTACAAAAAAACAGGTTTTCATTATTATTTTTTAATTATTCCTTATGACTGCAGAGGTAAACCAGGCTACAGGACCCTTGAGTAATTACAAGCCAGAATAGAAATGAAAACACCAAAATGGTTTACTTTAAAAATTGAATGAAATTGAAGCCGTTCTCATAATTATTAAGAATTCATTAATTTTACAACTACTCAGATTCTGTGGTATCTTTGTGAGCGCCATGACCATGCTGATACAGATGAACTGAACACAAAAGCTGTGTCTAGCCATATGCTTAAAAGTGCCATAGTATGAACTTGATTTAAAAAAAAGGTGGTGCAAAAAGCCTGAACATGACTGTCAAGCCCTGCATCTATTGCTAGCAACTGGAAAAATCCTCCCAAGTAAAGTACGTACAGCATCAGGGTTCACTGAATTCATCTTCGGCTTTATTTAAGCTCTGCAAAGTCGTCTTTTTTAAACTACTACCAAATGTTTTCCTAGAGAGGGAACATTATGTGACAGAGCGCTCGCCTGTTTCCAGCGGTCCCTGGGAAAGCGAGCCATCCCTTAGGAAAGCCCACAGGAATACTCTCATCCTAGGCTTTCTGCAACTCACTGCGCAGCTGATGCACCCAAAACGGGAGAGAAAGGACTATTTATCTATTCATTTACTAATGAATTGATATGTAGATACAGTCTCCAATAAAAGAAACGAGCAAATGCTGAATTTCCACTCATGGTCTTCTCACGGCAGTCCTTCAAGTCTTAGGAGGAGCGGCTGAAGGAACTGGGTCTGTTTAGTCTGGAGAAGAGGAGGCTGAGGGGGAACCTTGTTGCTCTCTACAACTACCTGAAAGGAGGTTGTAGTGAGGCAGGTGTTGGTCTCTTCTCCCAGGTAACTAGCTATAGGGCGAGAGGCAATGGCCTCAAGTTGCGTCAGGGGAGGTTTAGATTAGATATTAGGAAAAATTTCTTTACTGAAAGAGTGGTCAGGCATTGGAACAGGCTGCCCAGAGAGGTAGTTGAGTCCCCATCCTGGAGGTGTTTAAAAAATGTACACCTGGGTCCCTGCTCAGTGGCCCCCGAAATGGCAACACTACAGGGATTCGAGGAGGCAAAGGAAGGCCGACAGCTGGCGGATGACGGACGCTCTCGCCTCTGTGCCGGCGGGTGCGGAGGGAACGCCGCAGCACTGGGCTGGCAACCAGGGGTTGAACCTATTCGCCATGTGCTTCAGCAAGGCTCAGCATCCCTGCAGGCACCCCCAGCGCCGCTCCCACCACCCTGTCTGGAGCCCTTTCAGCCCCAAGCTCGACCGGAGGAGCAGAGGGCTCCCCTGAAGCCCCCAGCAATTTACCTCCCCCCAGGAAAATACCTCCTGGGAAATTCTCTTCGTCGTGCTGAACAAAGCTGCCGCGTAACTCCACCTCCAGCAAAACACACTTGGTATAAGAGTGGGTTTTGAAACAGAAAGAGGTTAATAATTATTCTTTAAAAGAGTGCCTTCAAGAAGCTTACAAACAAATGACTGTAACTTTCCTGAGCTTAGGGGAGTGGCTGTGGCGTTTGCATTTTGGAAATGAAAAGAAGCGATAAAGGGTTCAGTCACTTCTCTTGCCTTGAAAAAGGTTTATAATTTTCCCTAAACCTGCCTCCCATTCCTGCAAACATTCAAGTACTCGGCACACATATTCAACATTTTTAGACCCTGCGCTCACTTTTCACCCGAGCTGGATGCTGAGCTTAGGGAGGGAGCAGCAATTTTCACCCCGGGAGGGACCCAGAAAGGGATCCGTGCAGCCTCTGCCCAACACGGCGGGCCTTGGCCCTCCCTGACACACAGAAGGTACAGAAGGACATTGCTGGCTAGAGACACTGAACCTGTCACACACGGTGCTCGCACGAAGTAAGGTATTTTGGGGAAAAACCTAAAACCGTGATAAAAACATACAGAAGCCATGTAAGTAAAACTGAAGATTTCTGTATTTTGTAGGAGATTTTCTGTATACCAACACAGATGTACAATACAAGGAATGCAGGTAAGCACAACAGCACAACCTGACTCAGGTTTAAAAAAATGGCTAGAAAAGCATCATGAACCTTCACTGAACATTGTCTTGCTCTAGAAGGAATAAAATTAAATTAAAACCAATTGTTAACTGGCTCTTTTTTTTAAACTCCTGTATAAGATCAGGAATAATATATTAAACTCGAACAGCAGAGGTATGCATGATGTAATTAACTCAAAGGTTTATTTGCAAACCTTATGACATTTCACACTTTTACAAATAGTGGAGTCACTTAAACCAAAACTCCTCAGTTTCATGTTTGTGAATATGTACATGGCCCACATCAACGGGGCCATATGTCAACTCAGCATTTTCAAGCCTGCCTCTCGGAGTGGCTCGGCAACACTGGAGCAGCCTTACTGAAGGGTAGGGTCCATAGGGTGTATGGGGATTCCAGGAAAAATGTGATCCTGTTTCAGGCAACACCAGCTCTGAACAGGATGAACCTTCAGGTGTCACCCCAAAGCTCCCAGTCCCAACAGCCTCCTTCCCACCAAGCTCCATCACTGACATCAGCTTCCCACCCCAGCCAGCCACTCTGCTAATTTTAAACTTCCCTCTTTTAACCCACTCAGGAATCAAAGGTTTGAGCGGACTTTTAACTATCTATTATCCCAACACAGAATCCTAAGGCATAACTGCACTTTGGGGGAAGTTTAGCTTTGAGAAAAATAAAGAAGAAAAAAATACTGCATTACTGTAACACATACATTTTCTTCACACACAGAGGAAGACAAAAGACTATCTTAATTTAAGCGTGTGTTGGGAACACCATAGTTTATCACTCACACTGCACACTTTTATGTAGACTGGGGCCGCAGCAAAGGCTGGAGGAAGGCCAGGTGCAGAAGCCAGGAATGGCCCCTGCAGGGACGCCGAGAGAGCCCAGCCATGGCTCTCGCGGATGTGCCAGTTATTGCTACCAGAGCTCTGGCTTCTCTGTTTTCAATGATAAAAGACAAGAAATATTTTTTTAAATTGTCAGTTTTCTTGAAAATTGTGCTACAGAAATTTACAGCAAAATATAACATAAACCATAATCTGATGCTAAAACCTTTTGCAAGTGTACGTGACTGGACACATATGTGTATCTCTCAGTGGGACTTCAGCCATAATTCTTGGGTTAGAAAAAAAATGTTCCTGTAAATACGTCAGATAAAAACCATCAATACGATACCAACAACAATTGCACTGAGATACACTAATGGTTAGCTTTCTGACATAACTTCATAGCAAGCTGCTGGCCTAGAGAGGGTTACTGGAAGTCCTCATAAAAGACTTCTCACTTTGCTATCCGTCTCCTTGAAGGGTCACCTCTTGCACCACCTCAGCACTACCTGAACTCCCCTCCCTTCTCTCTCACCCCAAATACACTCCTTTTTTTCAGCCCTCAAGAATGACATTTGTTTGTCTCAGAACTTTTGCAATCACACCATATGTAAAAAAAAACAAAACAAAAAACCCGCAAAAACAGTAGGTGCAAAGATTGAATTGTAAAGAAATACACAGAGTAAGACAAAATAAACATCTCTTGATTTGCAGGTTTTTCCCACATTGACATTTGGGCATGCAAGTAATTGCTTAAACCAGAAAGAACGGGCTCCATGCTGGTATTTTTTAAATGAGATTGAACTGCCTGGTATTTATTTGTTTTTTAAGAAATGGCTAATTTAATTAGCAGCGCTGCGTCTGTTCTTCCTCCACTCTCCCCTCACTCTTTTGTAGCATTTACTGCATAACAAGTAAAAAAATTAAAGTGAAAGAAAGAAACCTCTGGCCTCATATATACAGAGGGTGTATCGATTCCCAGAACTTCAAAAAAAAAGAATGGTTTGTGCCACCAGACACCTCTATGCTGACAAAAAGATACTGGCACTCAGTCCTGCCCTGCCAGTGCATATCCCCTCAAACAAGCCCTTGGGGAAAATACGGGTTGCCAAATATGCTAAACAGTAGCATTCCCACCCAGGGACTGCCAGGGTGCAATGACCTTATCTGCTAAATCACAGGCAGACAGGCAGGGTCTGAGGAGCTAAAGGAAGAACTAGCCACAGCACAGGGCTAACTCGCTAGCTGTCTTCAGCTGTATTCCTCCATCACAGTAAGCTCACTTAATGAAGGACTTCAAATTTATTTTTTTTTTTGTTCTTGTCATCTTCTGGGGATGTTTCTTGCAATGTTCTTCTGTCGTTGAGGAAACCCTGAATGTACTGTAGGCTAAGCAACAGAGAGAGAGATGTTTTCTCTACAAACAGATCACTTAAAGACAGCTTGTTGAAAGGAACAAATACAAAAATCCAGGGCCTGACTTGGTTCATCTGTGCTCACTTAGTTACCTGGTTCTATGGCTTTCAGGTCTGGCATGCCCCATCGGTAGGGAGGTGAGGGGATGACAACATTTAATTATCACACCAGGCCATTCTCAGGACTGATTAATGCTCACAGAAGTGTTCAGAGGTGGGAGACATGAACCCTTCCAGACCATGCCAGTGTGATAAGCTGTGGCCTTTGTCCTCACGTACAAACAGATTTTGCTGAATTTACACTCAAGCAGTTGGGAAAGGCTTGGACGTTAGCCGGGCTGAGCTGAGGGAGGGGTAACTCCTGCCTGAGAGAAGGCAAGCATCTGGGGGTGCATCCTCAGCCACTGCAGCCACTTCCAAACCAATCATCGGTCTATGCATCAGATACAGTGTGCAGTGCTATACATCAGCTTTTGTGTCGATCTTCTCCTGCTGACTAGAAAAACCTGTGAAGTCCCAAACCTTTGCTTACTGTTTTAAAATGTACTGAAAATAATGCTTAGCTTTTGAATGTCTTTTAGTGGCCTAACTGTACTCTCAAGGTTTTTTTCATCTTTAATGGATGACAGCCAGAGAGGTACAGCCTTTTTTCCTCCTGTTCTCCTTTCAAAACTACATGATCCTAGAGATCCAATACTGACATTAAATATTTTTCTCTTCAACAGATTTTTTATTATGCACTTCAAACTAAGCTACGGAGTTTCCAGGTGCATTAAATGTTTCAGAAGCAAACTGTTAGTCTTGCTGGGTTCAGCTGAAAAATGCCCTCCTCCTCTTCTCCCTCCTTGCCTCCAGTAGTGATGGGAAAATTAAATCAGCAGAAGAAACAGTGCCAGAGGGGAGTTAAGAGAGAGGTGCTGCTGTGAGTGTCCAAGATAGTTGTTTTTTCAGTTTCAGGTCTGTGAACTCTCTCTGTGAATTCCCCCAAACTTTTCCAACAAAAATTTTCTCCCTCTCTTCAGAATTGTGTTCACTCTGCAACATGACACAGTTACATGACGGTATCGTCCAACAAAAGGCTTTAAAAGTCAAGCATCATGGTCACGTAGTTTCTGCAGTGCTTTGTAGCTAACATCTCTCCCTTTCTGCTCCTGTCTCATGTTCTGCTACTCTCTGTGACTTTCTCCTCCAACTAAGGTGTAGACCATCCTCCTTTTCTGCTTGGTCCTTGCCCAGCCCTTGACAAGCTGGCTTTATCCACAGTCTTAGTTGTCCACTTTATTGGTCACTCCCTTGCACAGACACAGTCTCTTTCATGTCTCACCATCAGGCCTCATGTATTTCTTCCATACCACATTTCCATGTGTCAACAGCAGCAACATTCAAGTAAGAAACAAAAATAGCATCTTCTTCCCAAGAAACTGAATCTGGTGTCTTCTTATAAGAGTCAGACCAGTCTTCTAAAACTTTTCATTTAAAGAATTTAAGCACAGGAACTACTCTGCAATTAGGGTGATTGTTTTAAATCACATATGGATCTTTAATACTAATTATTAATACTAAGATTTTCCTTCTCTTTTATCAATCACTTGAATAATTCATTGGAAGAGGAGAACCATGCATGGTGTATAACGCATAGGACAAGAAAACCACTACACCCTTCTCTGTACAAACATAAAAGAGGCCAGATCAGCAGTGCACTAAAACACTGTTTCACATTTTCAGAACAAGAATACTCCTAGCATTCGTGCCAAAACCAACACTTCCTTCCCCTCAGAAATGCAATAAATCTATAGAACTCCAAGAAACAAACCAGTGATATTCAGACACATTGAATGAATTTACAGGAAAGGAAATGCATAGCCCGTTTTGAATTATTACCAATGAAATACATTATAACACATTATATACGTATAATTTAAACATGCCCAGTTTCTTGGCAATGAACTGTTTGGGGTTTTTTTCTCCTTGTAAAGACAGCTAGTATCTAAATATCATTTCCCACCAGCTTACAACAACTTTAAGTGGCTACGTGAGTCAAACTACTTGACTGTATCCCACTGGATCTGTGTTTCACAAGCACGCAATGAAAGTGTCATTTCTTTGTTGACTCATCCAGGATCTGGGGGAAAAA